CTTCCAGCCAGCATGTAAGATGCGTGTGAGTGACGTAGGCCAAGATAGCTCCGAATAACCAGAAACCAGATCAAAATCAGCTCTGAAAATGACTCCCCAGAGTTTGGTCTCTATTATCCCATACAAAGAAACAACAAGGTGTTTTGGTAGAGATGTGACATGATCAGATTTGAATTTTTAAAATATTAGTTGGTGAAAGGCAGAAAAGGGATGTGACCAAGTGGTAAGATGGCTGGAAAGGTAGCCCTTGTACTACCTAGCCAAACTCTGGACACCGTAATCACACAAGTTAAAAAAGTCTTAGATGATCTCTCCAATCTCTGGTTAGCATTTCTAAGTATATAAATCATGTATAAAATATATAAATACCTTAATAAATTAATATGCTTTACTGGAACTTTATGAGAAGTCTAAAGTTGAACCAATGGTTCACAGGCTTCAACACATGGTAAATTAACGCATCCATAAGAACAAATCTAGACTACAGATTGCTTTTTTATGTAAATTGGCATGTTATAATGAATGTTGCAGATATGGTCTAATTGGATAACTTCATATGAAACTCAGAAAACTGATTATCTTCAAAACTGTAAGACATCAGGGAATAGTCTCCTGAAGACAGACCATCAAGTAACACTGCCACCTACAGGCTGAACAGATAAGGATCTGTTCCTTTGGTCCTGACAGTCTTCTCCAAGCACATAAGAAAAGTGCCTTACTTGTTTAGAACATCTACCTGCCTGTTTCCCTTAGGCATGTGGCTAAATGCCACCTCCCATCATTGTGGGAATAATGTACTAAATAAATATACTGAAGTTCCCCTCATCACTACTAATGCTCACTTCACCCTGCAGTCAGTCAGAAGAGCTTGAAGTTAGTGACATTACTGTGAAGGTCCACAAACATCAGTCCAAGGCTTAGGAGTGTACATAGGCACAAAAAACACAAATGCGTTATAGAAGGATGGGGTGGGATGGGAAGGGGACTTAGTGTGAGAAGGCTTAGAAAAAGAAAGTTAAGGAGATGGGAAGAGAAGGAAAGAAAAGAAAAGAGGAGAGGGAAAGGATGGGAGAGGAGAAAAAAGGGAGTAGGAGGAAATATGAAAGAAGGGGAAAGGAAGGGGATGGAAGAAGAACTCTGTGTGGGGAAAAGTGAAATTTCCCTTCAGCTCTAGAGAATAAATTTAATGAGGGTGTGAATTTTAATGCAGGTTTCCACAGCACATACTTTACATTTGAAGCCACACAGAGAACACTAGCATGGCTCCTGCCCAAGGATGACATGAGAATTCATGAATCATTCCATATTTTTAACTAAGCTGCAAATGGACCAACGTCCTCAACACAAAAGCTGACTAATTTTTGAGACAGGGTCTCTCTGTCTAGCCTTGTAAATGTTAACTCGATTCATGAAATAACCAGGCCAACTTGAAGATAAACAATTATATTTTTACTTATTATAAGGGAAAACTCACGCCATGAAAATGGGAAGTCCAAGCTTGCTGGGTCCCGCAGGAATCACCCAGAGAGAGTGAGCACCTTGTCCATCCCAGTTTTTCTTCCTGGGCTCCAGGTAGCCACGCCTTAATAAGGTTCCACTTCTTAGAGGTGATTGGTTAACAAAGCTTCCCCCATCACCTCCCCCTTCTGTCTAAACAAGATCGACCCAAACTCAATACAATATATACAATAGGAACAGATACAAAATATAAAATTACAAACAATATAAGCAATATTAAGCCAAGTAACATATAACAAAAGTTTTAATAAACATTCTATTGCATTGGAAATAACCTTGGCTAAATCACGAGAAAGGTAACCACGACTATCTAATCTTCAACCCCATCGAAGATCTAAGAAGGGAAACAACATTACTTGAGTGCAGGAAGTGCAATTAAGCAGCTTCCAAAATGTGCAACAAATGACAGAGACAATTGGCTACCTGGACAATCACCCAAAGTCTCATTTGCAATGTTGAAGCAACCCACTTTGGCTAAGGCCTAAAATGACTGACAGACCATTTTCAAAGGCAAGAAACTTCAAAACTGTCTTACCTGGTCTTGGCAGGATTTGACAGTCCTGTTTTATCAATTTATGGACACTATGTATCTTTGTCAGTGGTTGAGGTATGGGCATTTCTTTGCCCAAAAGCCAGTTCTGCCAAGAAGAAAGCAAGTTCCAGGTGGAGTGCCTTCGGTGCTCAACATTCTTCAGTGCTGCTAGGAGCAATTATGTCTCACTTCAACAGAACACTAAGTTATTTAAATGCCATTTTCTGCAGCTCTTTTAAGTGGTTGAAGATTATCTATCTATGCAGAATATAATCTCTGTGTATCTAAAGAACCTGATAAGTTTAACTATAAGTATGACAAACATAGATGACTATTGGTCTATAATTCTTAATACCTATATAACTTAAGACAATAAACAACTTGCAATAAATGAGGATAATGACCTCCAAATGTAAATAATGTATAATATCTTGATCAGCGGTATAAATGTACACTGCAATATTGTAAATATATATATCAATATATTAAAAATGTTTTAAACAGAGTTAGAAGCATGCATGTATACAATATTCAATATAATTTAACTTTTATCAATATACAAGAATCTATACCAATATAATTGTCTATAAATAATAATTCAAAAGTTTTCACTCCCTTATTTACTATTATTATTAGTGTGAGTAAACTCATACCAATCTATTATCCCATCCAATTTTCCCTTTTTTTAAGGAATCCCTGAGTCTATAAAATTCCTCCCCGAACCCTCAACCATATACCAATTATAATCAACCCTTAAATGAAGTCCCTAACCCTGGGGATAAACTTTGTTGGGAGAGGGGATGTCATCTTCTAGAATTACTTCGAGCTCATGGGGGCAACGTTCTTTCTACAGGATCCTATGAAAGTAAAATGATGGTTAAGTTTCAGGATTAATGTCTGGTATGATTGCAAATAGTCTCTGAGTATTTTGTGAAGGTCTGGTCAGAATGTTGTAAAAGTGTGCACCATTTCAGCTAACCAAGTTGGAACCATATTGTGCAGCTGGTATCCAAAACAGGTCTTGTAGTAGTGCTCTCAGTATCATGACGTCATATAAACCAGGTGGAGTTGTTGTTGTGGGGCCCCATCTTCTTCCTGGAAAGTTCAAAAATTACTGCAGGAAAATTCATTGTTCATTGTGGAAAACTTAAGCATTATTTATATAGACTATATATTGTATTGTCTATATACAATATATAGTCTATATATACAGACATATATCGTCAATGAAAGGTATGATAAAGGCAAAAATAGACATGAAGAAAAGTGAAGATTTTTTCTAATTCTTTTTTCTTTCTGTCCCATATCATGGCTTCTGACACGAGACAGAAACTCTGGGCTTTTCTCTTAACAACAGGCTTGGAATTAAAGAGGTACCAAGCCAGTGTCCAACTCCAAAACCAGCTCTATATATTTATAAATATAAATACATACATTATATATGTATATATAAATGCATATTCTCAACATCTATACTTATGGAACATATTCAGTTTTCTTGATGATCCTTATTGGATAGTTATTTTTCCAACTGTTAGTAATCAAACATTCAGGGTCCCTTGAATTTTTTGAAGATGAGTGTTTTCCTGCAAAGACAAGAACAGAACACTGTCCCCATCCTATATGTTTTTCTTACCACCTGTATGGTTACCACCATTGTGGATGAGCTGCCATTTCTCCTTTTCAAGAGGTTTCTCCTCTTCAAACCGAATCTTTATTAATTTTGATGGTGTGCATAATTTTTTCTTTTCCTATGGAAACAAAAGCAAAACTCCTTCCCCAATGCAGCACCTCTCCTGGCTTTCATTGTGAGGTCAGCACACCCTTGAAATAAACTGGTTGATTTAATTCAGAAGACTTTTCCATTATCCATGACTTTCTGCTGCTGGACTTCCCATTCTCATGGCATGAGTTTCCCCTTATAATAAGTAAAAATATAATTGTTTATCATCAAGCTGGCCTGGCTATTTCATGAACCGAGTTAACATTTACAGTTGGCAGCCCAGAATGGCCAACTAACTCCATGTAAAACCTAAGAGGGGATATACTCCCAGCATACTGCTCTCTCTTCCTACCCTACCCAGCTTGCATCCAGAACCCTCCCCCCCCCCTTTCTGCCTCCCCTCCCTCTTGGGGCGCTGGAGCCGAACTCCCGAAATCCCGAGGGCAACCTAGCGGGCAGGAGCTCCTTTGTTTCAATAGCCTGCCTGCAGCAAGCAAGGTAGGCGCTTTGTTTATGAGCTACCCAACCAGCACAGAGATCTGATCTCGGCACCAGGGGAACCATCACTGGGGTGAGTTTGGGACCTGCGGCAGCAGCCCGGGACAGGGAACTCAGACTTTCCTCATCCTGCCTATACTTCCTGGGCTTCCTCTCTTAAGGAGGGAGGAGGAGGGTGAGTGCGGGAGGGGAATGGAAGGAGGGGAGGAAGTGTAAATTTTTGAGTAGAAAAAAATTTTAAAAAAGTATAAGTCACCGACCCAGGCCAGCTGGCCTTGGTGAGTTCCCGATAGAACATCCTCATTGCTGAACATAGTGGACAATGAGGACTACTGAGAACTCAAGAACAATGGCACTGAGTTTTTGATCCTACTGCATGTACTGGCTTTGTGGGAGCCTAGGCAGTTTGGATGCTCACCTTACTAGACCTGGATGGAGGTGGGTGGTCCTTGGACTTCCCACAGGGCAGGGAACCCTGATTGCTCTTTGGGCTGATGAGGGAGGGGGACTTGATTGGGGGAGGGGGAGGGAAATGGGAGGCGGTGGCGGAGAGGAGGCAGAAATCTTTAATAAATAAATAAATAAATAAATAAAGTATAAGTCTCATTTTATTTTTCCAAGATTTGTTATTCTGTCTTTATGAAATTGCCTCTTTGCACGGACTTTGGTACAGGTCGTGGTGCAGCACCAGCAGGTCTAAATTATGCTTGGGGTGTTTGATCCTTTCAGGCTTCATGAGATCGATTCCGGACTACCTTGCTATGACTAGCACAACTCACACAGTAATGCAGCTTGACAGGGTGTTTGGGAAGCACAAAAGTGTCGGAGACCCTTGCTTCGGATATGTGTCTGACAACAGCAGCCCCTACAATGTTCCAAAGGATGAACGTCTTAATGGCATTGTCCTTGGTCACACAGTGGGTGCAATTCATGCAGCAAATTAGCTGCACATGGTTGCAGCCCCTTTTGGCATGACTGTTGTTTCATTTTTTTTTATTTTCTTGTTATCTTGGAGCCAAGACCTTAAAGAGAAATTGTAGGGTTTTTTTCCTCCCTTGAGAAAACTCCATAGTTTTCTATTGATTTCCAAAGTAACTGCACTAGCTTACAGCTCCAAGCAGGGGTTCTTGTTTTCTTACCTGTAGACTAGCATTTGCATGCTTGTTTGTTTGTATTCTTGATGTTGGGCATTCTGATTGGGGAGAGATAAAATCTTAATTTTAACTTGCATTTCCTTCATAACTAAGATGTTGAGCACATATAATAAATTTCCTAACCATTTTTATTTCTTAAGTCTCCAATTAGTTCAATAGCCCATTTTAAAAATCAGGCTGTTAGTTTTCTTGATGTTTAGTTTCAGTTATACATTCTAGATAGTAATCCACTATCAAATGATAACTGCCAAAGGTTTTCTCCTGTTCTGTGGGTCACCTTTTCACTTGGTTGACATTCTTATTTGCCGTATAAAAACTTTTACTGTTTTTTGAGATCCTCTTTGTTAACTTTTGGTTTTATTCCATGCATTGCTGGAGTCCTATTTGGAAAGAAAGCCTGCTGACAGTGGTGGTGCACCTAGTGGCACACAACTTTAATCCAGCACTTGGGAGGCAGAGGAAGGCAGATCTCTGTGATTTAGAGGCCTCTGGGCTATAGAGTGAGTTCCTATAGAGGACAGCTAAGGCTATGTTACAAAAAGAGGGTCACTTGTTTTTCCTGGCCTCTCAGCTAGCTTACACTCAAAATAACCACACAGAAACTGTATTCATTAAAACACTGCTTGGCCCATTAGCACTAGTGTCTTGTTGGCTAACTCTTACATATTAGTTTAACCCATCTCCATTAATCTTGTATAACCCACATGGCTGTGGCTTACTGGAGATTCTAACCAGAGTCCTTCTCAGCCAAAAGATCCATGAGTTATCTCACTCTGCCCTTATTCCCAGCATTCAATTCTGCCTTCACCTACCTAAGTTCTGCCCTATCAGGCCCAAAGCAGTTTCTTTATTCATTAACCAATGAAAGCAACACATGAACAGGAGAACCTCCTACAACATTTCCCCTTTTCTGTTTAAATAAAAAGGAAGGCTTTAACTTTAACATAGTAAAATTACATATAACAAAACAGGTATCAAATAAGAATTACAGTTTTAATACTTATATTTACTTTATCTTTTATTATAACTAGGGAGAACTATAACTATAAATTCTTCAACTCCATCAAAGACTCCAAAGGATATAATATTACCTAAGTAAACAGAAAGTGCTTTGTAAGCAACTTCTAAAATTCTAGAAATGACAGAGACATCTTGTTCCTTGGACAGTTACCCCAAATTCTTCTATGCCATTGGGGCATCCATCTTCAGCCTTCAGGCCCACAGTATCCAGAAGACTTTTCCATGAAGCAGGAAATTTCAAAGACAGTTCTGCCTATATTAGCAGTTTTCAGTTATGCTCTTCCATGTCCTACAGATTGTCTCACAGACTCTTTCATGAAGCAGGAACCCTAAAGGAATATCTCACCTTTAGGCAAGTTCAGCAGTCATCTCTCTGTGGGAACTTCATGTCCAGTGAAGCAGTCCAGGCAAGAGCAGTTTCTTGCCCAAATAGCTAGCAAACTCCATAAGAAGCCTCTTCAATGCCCATCTTCCTCTTGAAGTAGCTGGTGCTGCCAGGAGCAGATGTGTCTCATTGTCATGAAAAGTCCTAAATTATTAAAACATTTAAATGGCATACTCTGAATGTCTCTGAAAGACTTGAAGAATACCTATCTAACTGAAATATATCTATGCACATCTAGAAAATCTTACTAACATGACTACAAGCTTGACTATTATACATGATATCCATTAACCTATATTTTAATTATACATTACAATTTTAAATGAGCTCCATAAATATGACACCTTAATAAAGAGCAGAAATACATATACATATAACAAAATTGACCTTAAATTTGTATCAATAGATCAAGATTCATACCAATGCAAATTATTCATATCTATATCATATCCCCCATTAAATGTAAACGAACATTTCTAAACAATATTAGGGATAATGGGCAGTTTTTTCTCTCCAAACTGATTCATGCTCTATGGGGGCACTGTTAATCAGGTCTTTCATGGTGTATCCTGTATGCTAGGTTCATCTCAGTCAGCAGTTGAGTGAAGTAAGTTTTTGAGGGTGTTGATAGCAACCTTTCAGGAAGCCTTGGTTCATGAAACCATATTTTCCTGGAGGCAACCAACAGGTTCTCATCGTCTGTGAAAAGAAAAGAAGAACCTCTTTTCCAAAGCACCATGTTCTTAGATCCAAATTTGGAAGTCATGATACCTTTATAATATACATGCTGGTTTAGCTTAGCAGCCCATACAATGAAATGTCTCTCTGTACTTAGCTCCTTAGAGTGAAAAAACTCAAAGAAAACACAATAATATACATAATCCAGACTCTCTGTGAATTTTCCATCCTTACATGGCTTATTTTTTTACTCCCTTTAATCTATGATTATCTGTACTCTGTCCCTTTAAAGACATTACCTTTTTTTAAAAAAAAAGCATTAACTTTATTTTATGACTCTTTATACTCTTTTTCTTCTCTCTCCAAAGCATACGTACATTTATCCAATACTGTGACCCATTTAGAGGACTTTTATATTTGAATCTGTCCTATTGTGTATGTGTAATTATTTATGGTCCAGGAGCACTTCTTAAAATGCTAAACACATCTTAAAAACTTAAGTTGTGCCATTAGTAGGGGTATTATGGTAACCTGTTTGCCTGCCCAGTCTGAAACTTAAGTTGCACTGTTATTATGGTAAATACGGTAGTTCCTGTTAGCTCTGCATAGTCCAGCATGGCAGAGCTGTTCACATCTCTGAGCTGGGCACAGTGACCAACTTCCAGGCACACATCTGGTCCAAGTTGCTATCAAGAAAGCCACATGCAGCATGATGCTCACAACCGCCATCCAAGTGCTTGGTCTCCTGAAAGAGCCAAAGGTTGCACTGGCAGCATAGCCCAGAAAGCCAGGATTTCAAAACTGCTGCAGCTTTTGTACTGCTATGGCTGAATCAGGAAAATCTCTCTAGGAGCTGTGGCAAGGAGCCAGCAAATAGCAAGAAGTTGTGTTAAACTCTGTATTTTTTTTCTAGAATTCATTTTTAAGCCCTCTTAGTTTTTTTAAATTTTTTTTATTGAGAAAAGGAAAAAAAAAGTTTCTGCCTCCTCCCAGCCTCCCATTTCCTTCCCCCTCCTCCCACCCTTCTCCCCCATGCCATTGTCCTTGGCTTCTCATCAGCCCTCATTGTTCGCCATGTTCAGAGAGTCCGGTTTTATCCCATGCTTTTTCAGTCACAGTCCAGCTGGCCTTGGTGAGCTCCCAATAGATCAGCTCCACTGTCTCAGTGGGTGGGTGCACCCCTCATGGTCCAGACTTCCTTGCTCATCTTCTCCCTCCTTCCGCTCCTCATTGGGACCTTGGGAGCTCAGTCCAGTGCTTCAGTGTAGATCTCTGTCTCTATCTCCATCCATCAACAGATGAAGGTTCTATGATGATATGCAAGATATTCGTCAGTATTGCTATAGAATAGGGTCATTTCAGGTACCCTATCCCCAGCTGCCCAAGGAATTAACTGGGGACCTTGGCTTGGGCACCTGGGAGCCACTCTAGGTTCAAGTCTCTTGCCAACCCTAAGGTGGCTCCCTTAACTAAGAATTGTGCTTCCGTGCTCCCCTATCCAACCTTCCTTTATCCCAATCCTCCTTTTTCCCCAAGTTCCCCCCTTCCTCCCCTTCTCCCGTTTCTCTCCCCATCTCCCCTTACCCCTATCCCACCCCATCCTCAAGATCTCAATTTTCTCCCCGGCAACTTTGTCTACTTCCCATAGCCAAGAGGATAACTATATGTTTTTCCTTTGGTTCACCTTCTTACTTAGCTTCTTTAGGATCACCAATTGTAGGCTCCGTGTCCCTTATTTATGGCTAGAAACCAATTATGAGTGAGTACATCCCATATTCATCTTTTTGGGTCTGGGTTACCTCACTCAGGATAGTGTTTTCTATTTCCATCCATTTGCATGCAAAATTCGAGAAGTCATTGTTTTTTACCACAGCGTAGTACTCTAATGTGTATATATTCCACACTTTCTTCATCCATTCTTCCATTGAAGGACATCTAGGTTGTTTCCAGGTTCTGGCTATTACAAATAATGCTGCTATGAACATAGTTGAACAAATGCTTTTGTCATATGTTAGGGCATCTCTTGGGTATATTCCCAAGAGTGGTATTGCTGGGTCCAGGGGTAGGTTGATCCCGAATTTCCTGAGAAACCGCCACACTGATTTCTAAAGTGGTTGCACAAGATTGCATTCCCACCAGCAATGGATGAGTGTACCCCTTCCTCCACAGCCTCTCCACCATAGGCGATCATTGGTGTTTTTGATTTTAGTTATTCTGACAGGTGTAAGAAAGTATCTCAAAGTTGTTTTGATTTGCATTTCCCTGATTGCTAAGGAGGTTAAACATGACCTTAAGAGTCTTTTGGCCATTTGAACTTCTTCTGTTGAGAATTCTCTGTTCAGTTCAGTACCCAATTTTTTAATTGGGTTAATTAGAATTTTAATGTCCAGTTTCTTGAGTTCTTTATATATTTTGGAGATCAGACCTTTGTCTGATGTGGGGTTGATGAAGATCTTCTCCCATTAAGTAGGATGCCTTTTTGTCTTAATGACAATGTTCTTTGCTTTACAGAAGCTTCTCAGTTTCAGGAGGTCCCGTTTATTCATTGTTGCTCTTATTGTCTGTGCTACTGGGGTTATACGTAGGAAGTGGTCTCCTGTGCCCATGTGTTGTAGACTACTTCCCACTTTCTCTTCTATCAGGTTCAGTCTGGTCAGATTTATATTGAGGTCATTAATCC